AGCTCTCCATAAATCGTATCATAAAAGTCTTAAAGCTAAATCCCTTGTTAATCTTGCGTTAATACTAATTTTCAGTCGTTAGTATCATAAGATAACAATCCCATAATTTGATGAATTATCAAATATTAATTCTATATAAGTTTAACAAAAATTATAATTGTAAAGAATATTAACATATAACCTAAAGTCTGACAGTTCTAGCTTTAGGGTTTAGACTAAATACTATAGTCTACATGTTTTGCAAAAATCTTAAATGAAAAAAAGAATAGATCTAATAAATTTTATAAGATATTTTTAAAGCATATTCATATAGAAGTTGGCTGATAGAGATTATTTTAGTTGGTTGTAATGAACCTATAAAAGGTAATAAGTAAAAATATAAACGGTTTCTTTTACATCTTCAACTTGTAAAGTATGTTTATTAATAAAAATTTGAGAAATTATTGAAAAGAAAATAAGAACTTGGGATAATACAATTCCTAAAATGATTAAGTAATTAGATTTAATAAAGCAGAATTCAGATATTAAGCTCTAAAATACTATTAGATGAGCAATAAATGTATGTGTTCAGGTGTTAGCCTAAAATGTTACAAGTTGTGACAAGTTTTGTGTTTTCTCTAAAATACTAAATAATATCATATCTAAATTATATTCATGAAATTCAAATGCAACTAAAATTAGATTTCTTTTAGAGGAAGAAAATTAAAGAAGTGAAAGTATTACCCAATTGAAAATAAGGTATAGCAAATTATGTGATTAAGAATATGATACAAAAAGCATGATTAAATATTTATTATTAAAAAAATTATAGCAAGTAATTTCATAATGGAAATTTAATCATAAATTTATATGATATAATGAATTAATGAATTAATGTAACTTTTAAGAAAATAAAAGTCTGTATTCTTAATCTTAACAATTCTTTCATTAATCAAAGTATATATATATAATAATACAATTGAAATAATAATGCTATCTAAAATACTAAAATTTGGTAAAACTAATTTTTGAAAAAAATCAAGTTATATAACAAAAACCTATAATAAAATTAGTAAAACTTGATAAAATTAAAAATCCAAAATTAGTAATTCTAGTCTAAAACAATAAAAAATAGGTTTGATAAATATCATTAAATTGGATTAACATATAAGCCCTATAGGTCAATCTATTCACATTGCTTTCTCTATTTGTAGCTTAATAATACAATCATGAAAAACATTCATAACTTTATAACAATAAAATACTTTATTATTATTTATTTAATAATTGTTCAAATGATTCAATTAATTTATGAAATATAATATTTTAAAGATCTTAGGTTATACTCTAATAATTTTTTTTAAATTTAAATAAAAATAATAAATTAATACATCTATGAATTCTCATTTTTTTTATTTTAGAATAATTTACATTCTATAAAAATATCCTAATTGATTTTTATAAATCATTCATTCAATTTCCATGACTTTTTTTCATAAAATTCATAGACACAATAAATTATAAGATTTGAATTTCGCATAATCATTTCCAATTTCATTAAATAATAACGATAACTTTTATATTGATTGTATTAGTTGGCTGTCATAAATATAATATGCCTACTTGGCAAGTTCCATAGGCGTAATAAGTTCATTTTTTAAATCTTACTATGTTTTTAAAAAATACTTCTGTAGCTCATGATATCTTCTTGTCTGACTCATATAATATTAATTTTCACAAAACTTATTTTTAAAAAATATGAAGCCTAATTTGATTGCAGGCAATTGATCGACAATAGGACTCTTCTTTACCTTAACGCTTTCTCAATATAATGTAATCTCTTTTTTTAGAAGTTTATTTATTTACGTGTTTAGGTTTTCCCAAGAATTCGGAAAAAGGTCCGAAGTTTCGGATCACATATAGTTAAAAAAATTCTAGTCATGTTGTTATTGGACACAAAAAGAAGGGCTAAATTTGGCGGCTGACCAATTTGGTCTGACATCAATTCTACAGTTTCTATTTATATTATTTATTTATTTTTATATAATATAAAATAACATTTTTATTTGTCATATCAGTCGGTTTTTTTTTTGCCCTTTCGAGCTTTTTCGAAACGGTCTATTATAAAAATTGCAATAATACTATAAACAAAATGAATATGGACTTTGAAGATACCAGTTTTTTAGACTTTATGCTTGAGGTTATGTCCAAAGGTGTAGACAATGTTATGCGGTGGCTCCCTGGAGCCGAAGTGGTTGACATCGATGGTCGGCCGTTAGAGCCACGCGAGTATCAACCTACTTTATGGAATTTCTTATATTCAAACCACTTATATCTGGCAATTTTTGTTGTAAGATCTTTATTTAAATGGATTATCTTATTTTACATGTTAGAGTCGTATTCATTAATTTTTTGAAAATTATAGAATGTTTTAAATAATAGGATAAATGCCATTGTATCACCTCGTAACCCACGCCCATTATCGAAAAAGGCTCGATTTTTAATTCGTTTGCCTTGCTTTTATTTAATTGCAAGAGCAGCATGCGTACTTTTGTCGCGACTTGCTATAGGGACTCCTTCTATACGATCATACTTTTCACAATGGCTTGTTGATTATGGCATTGATTATACCGATCATCAAGCATTATGGTTGACTTTGAAGGCGTTGTCAGCTGTATATGTAATGAAAGCGTTTCATTCAAGTCTTGAAAATAGAAGGTACGATTAACTTGTATTTTTTGGTTCAGTTGCAAAGAATATTTCAAAAAAAAAAAATGAATATTGAATATTGAAAAATATTGAGAAGTTGAAAAAAAAGAAATTACAACTTAAAATGAATTATAATTATAATGCCTAGAGTATTTATACATTTATTCATTTATTTTAGTTTGCCAGGAAGAGAACAAAGCACAACTCTTTACGAATACGCTTTGTTATTTCATTACTTTTGTAATGTTACCCCAAACACATCAAACACTCATCTACTTTTCATAGCTTTTCTAGAAGTGCTGGACATTTTCTTCCTTGAAGTTCTATATCTTCATCCACGTGGTATTCAATATCGACTCATTCCGACCACTTTTGTCGGAGTAGCTGGAATCAGTAAGACACTAATTTACTATATGTTGACAAATTTTTTTTTTCACGCATCTTACAAAATTTTCGTTTGTTATAGTTCACTACGCATATGCACTGTTTTATAGATCAGAAACATATCCAATTCTACAAAGTTTTGCTAGATTTCCTGAATTAGCTTTAATTGTCGTTATTTTGATATGTGTTATTCTTCATATAATTGCTTACATAGTAACTGGTGGAAATGTACGGCGAACATTTTTTTTGGATGCCAGATCGATGCCATCTCTTCATGAAGATTATACAATGGCTTTATACAGAATTGGTACTATAGTGATTGAAACAAATCGCGTTGATGGATTTCGAAATGAGTTTCCACCAATTGCTGTACCTTTAGGAACAATATTTGAACGTTCAAAAAAGAGAAAGTCAAGAACCGCTATCGAAAACTCCAACAAACGTGGATATGATAATGAGCAGCAGGATACTAATGATTTGACTTCTACGGATTCTGTAGAAGAGCCACGTCGTGTCATTGTCTGGTCAAGTTTTGTCTTGGAAATTGTTCAAGTCTTTTTAAATTTAACTATGATATTTGTTAACTGGATTTGGTCGTTTTATGGTGGAAGACAACTTGTACCAAATAATAATCATCAATCTATTACTAATGAGGCTGGAGAATTGGAAGAAATTGATTGGGATGAAGAAATATATCATAAATTTCTTTATGAGGATTTAGAAGACAAGGAAGACGACGAGGATGATGATTATGTTTATAATAGCTCAGAAAGTGTTGAACATGACGAGTCCGACTTAGACTCGGGTCATGAAGAAATTGAAGATTCTATAATTCCTGGTGATGAATTAATTTTATTAGGAAATGACCTTAGTGATGATCAACAACCTTCATCAACAACAAATTCCATTATGCAATCAATGCTTGCACATTTGTTGCATTCTACAACTTTAACAAGGACACAGTATCGAAAGATTACACAGACATCAATGTCTTCAACCTCACAAGATGAATCTGATGCGTTAATGACATTAATTCATGAAAGACGTATACCACGATTTACTACACAACCAATTACGGATCGTGTTTGTGTTGTCTGCCATGGAGAAGCTCGCCAGTGTCTTTTAAAACCGTGTGGATGTTTCGCACTTTGTAATGAGGTTGGTTTTGGAATAATTGAAAATATTTCATTTCGTTTTTGATATAATCAATTTGAAAAAATTTTTTTTTTCTTTTAGTGTCGCGAAATGATGGCTCAACGCAAATTCAAGTATGTTTATTATTCTCAAATACGCGTCATACATAATTTTCTCTAATATTGATTGATTATTGTTGTAGATCTTGTCCTTGCTGCCGCCGAACAGTAGAAGGATATTCTCGAGTCTATATTCCATGAAGAATACGAGATTATTGTAGGGTTAATGTTACCACCATATAGCGCAACTTTTTTTTTTAAAAAAAAAAAAAAAAAAAAAAAATAAATGAAAGGTTAAAAACCTAACATATAGTTAAAAATTTTTCATTTTTTTGAGCGCAAATGGTTGTCAGCGAAAAAAATTTTAGGCGTACCAGTGGGTTATCGATATTGTAGATAAAAAAAAAAAAATTTTGAAATGTTGGAAAAAAAAAACAAATTATGTAGAATCTGGAATCGAATTCGCTAAAATTTTAGCGACAAATTTATAGTCAAGAAATAAATCTTTTCCATTATATTGAGTACATAAGATTTTATTGATTATTCTAATTAAGACAGTATTATCATTTTTATATTCCAGATGATCTTTCTATTTGTTTATCAAGATCAGGAGGGGCATCTTGACCAAATAACTGGGAAATGAAAGCATTTTAAAAGATTGTTAAAAAGATGGATACAAATTATTTTATTTTATTTTATCATTATATTAAATTAATGATACTTACTGCTCGAATAAACTCGATAAGGTTTTCCTCAGGCATTTCAACTTTTGCACGAGGACCCCAAGAATATTCATGTGATTCTTTTTCTGAATTCTGAGATTGATCAGATCTGCTCATTTTTTTGTTTATCCAAATATCCTTGTTTAACAAATGTTGATAAAAGTTTTTCTAAATCAAATTTATCATTGTCAGTTAAATACAAACGACGATAGTAATGTGCAAGCTGTTCTGAAATATTTACAAAGTTTAATTAATAAAAAATAAAAATATAATATGAAAAAAATTATATAATTACTTAATTTACCATCTGATAAAACTTTTCCATTCACATGTATCAAGCTCAGAATGACAGTTAGCAACCCCATAGATTCTATTTCATTATTTTTTTCCCAACTTATTATACCTATCTCTCTATAATCTTGAGGAAGAATATTTTTCAGAACGTACTTTGTCGAATACGACTGAGTAGCTAGAGGTTCGTTTATAAAAAAGGATAGTAAGTTATACTAGATTTAAATTCTTCCTAAAGATTAAACTTACGTTTACGTGATCCCCCGGCTTTTTTTTCTCTTAAAGGCAATTCTGCGAGGCTCATGCCAAAAACATCTACGAGAAGTTCTTGAGCTTTGTCAAACACGACTTGATAAGTTCTGGAGTGTTCGTGTAATACTAATGATGAAAAATTATTGTTTGTTTAGAAATATAATTAATTGATTAGTTAAATTTGAGTAATTTACCTTTTTTTGTTATGTCTTCTCTCTTCAATGGTTGTTTTCGGAGTTCTGAGAACAGAGCAAGTCGCACTACATCCTTGACTTTGCGCTCTAGTTCCTGAAATAAAATAAAAATTGTATTGTCACATAGCAATTACAAAAGCAACTAAACTTAAAGAAAGTCTTACCTCTGCAGTTAGTTTCAGAGCTGCTTTTTCGGCAGTAGTAGAAGGTTGGGTTACAGATCCTTCGTTAGACGATTCTTCGGTTTCTTCTTCATCGCGTCGTCTTCGTTTTTGAACATTTCTGGCACCCTCATCTCTTAGAGCAATACGTCTCGTTGGTCTACTAGGGCCCGCTTCTGCTTCGTCTTCCTACAAAAATGAATAATTTTTGTATTAATTTAAGTTGCATTAATACAAATTCAAATCATTTTTTTTTAAAAAAAATGGCATTAAAAAAACTTGCATCTATTACACTCCGGTTGCGTCTGTTACCTAAACCCTATAATAATTGAAATAATTTGTTCGGATGTAAAAAGAAATAAAAAGATATACACAATAAAAATTATAAAAGACATGTACCATATTGAAAAAAGTTGCAATAAAAAACACGTTCAATAAACGCGAATTGCTATGTATCTGCTAGTCATTATATTGTCCAATTAGGTCCTATTTATCATATGGTCACATGTTACTTTAACATTAGAAAATCATTGAATATCACAATTGTGACTGGGTTGTATCACCAATTTATTTACTTATTCATACTCGTATTTTGCAAAATTTTTTTTTTTTTTGATTTATCTTCTCGTCTACTTCAAAAAATAATTTCCAAGATATCCTTTAACATTAACATTTCTAACCAAGAACTTTACAAGTTTCAAATAATGAATCTAGAGCTTAGAAGTAAGTTCTTGTCCTTATAAAGAAGATCTATTTTTATTTTTTGTATTAACAAATTATTCTACAATTTTTCAATATTTCAAGGTCCTTTCGAATCAGATTATCCTGCAAAACTTGAAGCGACTGTTAGAGATGGACCTGTTCGCTGTATCAGCTTTAATAAACGAGGCACGATGTTAGCAGGTGGTTGTTCCGATGGTTACTGCATAATATGGGACTTTCAGTCAATGAGTATTATCCGTAAAATGAGATGTCATGTTAGCTCAGTGACAAGCGTAAGGTAACGTTTATTTCTTTCAAAGTCAATTTGCATTATATTATGTATTTTTTAATGAATTTTTTTAAAGCTAACTTTTTTCATTATTAATCAATGACATTTTCCAAATAATTCAATTTTTCCAACTAGCTGGTCACGTAATGGTCGCTGTATCCTCTCGTCTGGTGAAGACCACAAATGCGTTTATTGGGATATAACGAAAGGCACTCAAAAATGGATCCGTTTCGATGGACCAGTACTTATGTCTCAAATGCATCCGAGAAATAAGTCAGTATACATTTAATTTCTTTGTGTTTAATTGAAAAACTTATTTCAAGTATTTCACAGCTCAATCGTCAATAATAGTTTTATTTTCGTTGCCTCAATATACCAAGATTCTCCGGTAATTGTAGAAATAGGCGATACGATACGTCGATTTCCATTACCAACGAATGCAGAGCCTTTGTCCGACGTGAACAACAGCAGTAGTGAAGAAACGACGAATTCGACTCTTTATATACAGTAAAGTGTCAAACTTTCTCAATTCTGTTTATTATTTGTATAGTAACACTTTTGGAAGAAACTTACTTGTTACTGATGTTAGGCAATAATACTCCGCTATATAGTAAAACAGTTGTTTGTCGATACGATAAGCGTGGAAACCGAATTCTCACGGGGACGAATAAAGGTTATTTGAATGTAATCGATCCAAATACAAGAAGAGTAAGTAAACAGAATTATAGGGTTCCCCCTTTTTATTTGTCTTGTAAACTTTTATTTCATCGAACATTCTTTTCCTTATATTTTATAGATATTAGACAATCCAAAACTTAGTCATTTGTCTATAAGAAATATATCAGTTAGCCGTAACGGGAAGTATGTGTAGATTCTCGGTTGCCAAGGCATATGTGGTGATATATTATAAATTCATATTTATTCTTGTCTAAAGAGATTACCTTTTTTGTTTATTTATATTTTTATTATAATAGAGCGGTTGCTGTTAATATTTCAGACAAAACCATTCGACTTTATGGGTTGGACGACGAAGGGATGGATATAAAATCTGAACTACAATTTGCGGAAACTGTGAATAAAGATAATTGGAACCAATGCTGTTTTAGTCAAAATGGTGACTATTTAATAGGAGGTTTGTTTTTTCCTTTTTATTTAAAATTTATCTAAATTAAGAACAATAAATAATTGGTTTCCCTTTTAAAGGTTCTGGAAAATTAGCAGCGCACGAAATATTTATATGGGATAGAAGAACTACCAGGTTGGTACAAGTTCTACAAGGACCAAATGAAACGTGTATAGACCTTGCTCAACATCCTATTCAACCGATAATTATATCAGTGGATGTGGAAGGAACAATGTATACATGGACAACGAGACATAAAGAAGATTGGGTTTGTTGGGATCCAGCATTTAAAGAAATTGACGATAATATAGTATATGAAGAAAGAGAGGACGAATTTGATATTATGAGTGAAGAGGAAACAGAATATTCCCGAAATAATCAAGTAAAACAAGAAGATAATGACGATGAAGAAATTGACGTAGTAACCGTTGATAGACCCGCACGTTCCGATTCTTCTGATATAGAAGATGATGAACTAATTTATTTAGTGGATTCTGAAGTGGAAAGTTATATTAGCACAAAAACACTTGAAACTCAACAACCTGAAAGTTCAACAAGGTCAGGACATTCTGCAAACAATATAGTTGTTTCCAGTAGTACAACTAATACAAGTATAGGACTAAAATCAAAAGTCAAAGGGAAGAACAAAGCACGGATAGGAAAAGAATATGAAGACGTAAACGGATGGAAAAAGAAGTCTTATCATAATTAATTATAAACAACATTAAACTTTCATATACCTATAAATGACACAAAACATTTGACAGAGAAATTTCTCGTCCAGGGTTTGGTTAAATAAAAAATAAAAAGAGAATGAAAACCAACCCAAGACAACAGGTGGAGCATTATATATCAAATTCAGCCACTAATATGTGTCACATTCCTACCTGTTTGTACATATTAACTCCTGCGCAGATACTTAATGCATGGGCATAGATTTATATCATTGGATGATCTAGAAAATAATAATAATTATATAAAAAAAAAAAATTCCTCGTCAGTTTCGTTTTCACCTTCTTATGTTTTCTCATAGATATTAATAATTAATTTGATGCATATACACTTTCTATGTAAATAGTTCATTTTCCTTACATTCTTTCTTGTATTTTGCATTTAAAAATTCCTTATTGGCATTTTATAAGACGGAATAAAAAAAAATTTTTTTTTTGTTTTCCGGCATTATGTAGAATTGAGTTCGGATGATCTACTGTTATCAACCTAATCTCAGTAAAGATTTGTTCTAAAAATAGTATAACTACACACGGAAAATTGAAAGATAAACATGTGAATTTTTTTGTCTTTTATTTTCTATTTTTTTTTTTTAAAACTATAATAAATAATAAAACAAGTTCTTATAAAAATGAAAGTTCAAAAAAAAAATATTTAATTGGTTTTTTTGTTAAAATAACTTTATTTTTTACAATTATTATTTATATTAATATTAGATATGTTAAAAAAAATTTTTTTATAAATGTTAAAATAATTAGAGATATGATACCAGTTATTAATCCTTCAATAAATATCAAAGGTCTGGCTTTATTTTGCAAAAACAATTCCAAACTATTACTTTAGATAATTGTTTTTCAGTTAGAATTAACATTCTTTTTGATATCTTTATTAATCTGATGTTAAATCCATTTAAAAGAATCATTATTAAAAGTATAAACTAAGATTTATTACTAAATATGATCTTTTCATATTTTTTATTTCAATTTCTTCTTTCATAATATCAAAATAACCGTTTTTTCAATTTACCTTTGATATTAAAGGTTTTTTTTTAATATGGCTATACATAAAGATGGTTCCTATAATTATTTTTAAAATTTTTCACTAGTTATAATTTAAGTTGCAACACTTTGAGTTGCAACTATTTATAAATTTTTATATTAAAATAAATTTACAAGGAGTTGCAACCAAGTTGCAACTTCTTAATTATGGTATCCATCTTTAGCTATACATAAAGCCAAAATAAAAACCCAAAAGTTGAAATATTTTAACTTTGGAAGTCAAAGTCAAAATGAAAATCGTAATAGTCAAAATGACATTATATCACATGATTTTTTATATATAAAAAAAATCTAAAAAAAAGTTTGTTCTTGGTTAATATTGTACCGTTTCTTATGAAATAACTACCATTTGATTTCTTGTAACTAGATGGATCTAATGAGCTAAATATAATTAATTTTAAATTAACCAATCTTGAGATAATCATAATCATATTTTCAAAATCCGAATCCTTTTATTTAAAGTAAAATTTATTGAATTATAATTTCAGCTGATAATTCAATCACAATTATTTTAATATTGGCTGATCAGTAATTGATATAATATAACTCATTAGATCTATCTAATTGAATAGTAGTTATTTCATGAGAAATAATATGATATTGACTGAGATCAAACATTTATTTTAGATTTTTTTATATATGAAAAATCATATAATATAATGTCGTTTTGACTATTTTGACTTTTATATCAAAATATTTTAACTATTTTGATTATTTAAATAGAAATAATCCATTTTGATTTCATGTTTAAATATAATTATAATAATAGAATTCTGAAAATACTGATACAACTCACATATAAAGTTGTATAAAATTTATATTATTCATAGTTCATTGTCCGAAGCGTATGCGTAAGACACTTACGGTTAGACTCTATATCAATGATAATTCTGTCTGTTCGCACGCGTTTATTATCCAATGAAATTCTGAGATCAAGTGTAACTGTTAAAATAACAATAATAGTGTAAACGGATCTACAAAGTGATCTGCAAAATCAATCTACAAAAGGGATTTGTAGAATTGAGCAACAGAATGATTTATAAGATTGATCTACAAATTGATTTACATGTATTACGTGATATTAATGACATTGTTGATATAATTGACATTAATGACATTATTGACATTGTTGACATTATT